GGATTTTATCAAAGTTTTTGTGAGATTTCAGTTTTGTTGATGATGCAAAACAACTTATTATTATTTCAATTTAAATTTGGATAATAATAAGTAAAATTATATTTTATGATGTGTTTTATAATAAAGTTCATAGTTTTGTGAGATTTAATTTAAAACTTACATTTAGTCCAACTAATAGATATCTAAATTCTATTACTAAATATTGAAACATATGACATAATATTTTATGTAAGATTTAAATAAGGTATTTTAGAATTTATTACCAATAATAAAATTCTGAATATATTATTCAAATTTAATGTTAAATTCAGATGAGATAATTTTTATTATTCTGTAAAGAATTTTCACAATTTTGAAGTAGGATTTCGTATAAATGGCTAACAACTTCCAAAAAAAATGTCATGTATTTATTAAACATGAAATAATCACTTAATTGAAGTGATATGTATATATGTGTATATATATATAGATAGTTGTTGTGGGTGTAGCTCTCAGTGTAAGACTATCAAGTAATGGATTTAACATGACATAATCACTGAATTGAAGTGTGAAAAGAAAGTAAGGAATAGAGAAATGTTCCAGCTAAGTGACGAGAGTGAGACCATTGAAACTGAAAAGGAAGCTTAGTAGTGATAATGATCCATCCATTATATACATATTATATATATATATATATATATATATATACACACGTATATGAAATTGCTAGATGCAACTGATAACGTAAGTATTCTTCAATAAAAAGAATCTATACATAAAATCATTACTGTCATAAAATAAACTTCAAGTATACGCAGTTAAAGTATGATATTATTTCATCTAAATATTTTTTAAAAAAGTTTAATATAAAAGTTTTTTTATATATTAAGAAAAATTGTGCAATAATTGCCGGACCCTAAAAGGAAAAAGGAAGGATTGGAATTTATTTTATGCCGACGTGACCCAATTAGTCATAATTGTTTGTAGCCATCAGATTAAAATGGTGAATCATAACGTGGCCATATTTTATTGGCTACTTGTTCTTTTTGAAAAGAGGAATCCAAATAAATAATACCAAGAAAAAGTACTACACACAACAACATATTATTATTTCCATCTATAAAGTTTATGTACCATAAGAATTAAAAAAAGTATTGATTACATGCTTTGGGTTATAACGTTTGAAATTCATTATACTATATAAATATGTTTATACACATGTGGGGTGTGTGCGTGTGTATATATATATGTATAGAAATAGAGGCAGGCAGCTCTAATAATTGAGGAGGGTAGTTTTGAACTTAATGGCATAAGGAAAATAAGAAAAGACTTGATTTTGATGGCTGTCAGCTCTAATTCGGAAGTCACTAACTAATAAACAACTTGCTCCTCAGGGTCTAGTAATAATTTGGGTGGGAAATCGACACATTAGCAACTCTTAAAACTTTTATTTGATTTCTTGTTGCAAAAAGCTTGCATAGACTATTTAATAAATAATTAAATTTGATTAGAATATATTATTAAATTCATTCTTGAAATTACTAAATAACTTAATTTAGTTATTACGTTTTATATTTTTATTAATTATTTTGAATAAGTTTCAATTCAATACATTAAAAAGTAATTTAGTTTAGTTTATTATATTTTAAAAAATAAACTTCACACTTTAACTATATATTTTATATTTTTAAAAAATCTAATACAAAATATAAATAAATAAACATTCAACGAGCGAACATATAGACGATTGGACAAATATCTTGTTTATATCAAAATTTATTTCTATTTTTATTTACTTTTGAAATAGTGTAGTCGAATCAAAATGATTAAATTTTTAAATAAATATTAAATATAAAATCTTCATTTTAAAATAGTAACTAAAGACCCATTACATAATTCTTATTTTCGAAAAATTTTAAAATTCACAAAAAAAATTAGAAATATAATTATGAAAAAATTGATATAATACCAACAGAATTGGAATTGATGATGATAATTTAAAATTGATATGATACCAACAGGAGCAACGCATTATTATTGAGTGGGCAAATTGTCCAAATCTCGTTGTG